CGGCATTCGCACTTCGTTGCCGCAGGCTGTCGCTGACAGCCAGATGCGGTACTGGAGTGAGATCTGGAACGCCACGCCCGTCACCTCGCCAGCGACCAAGGAGCTAGTCTTTGGCGACGCTGCCCTCACTACTCACCTCCCCGAGAGCGAGCAGTTCGACTCCCAGGCCGTGGCCCACCTCATGGATGCCACCGACACGTTGTCGAAGGCCATCAGCCAGCTGCCGACGGAGTCCTTGCCAGTTCCGACTGTGGCGGAGGTCCGCAGGGCATCCATGTCCTTCAGCTGGCGCACAGGACTGGCAGCGGATATGATGCCACCACGGGCCTACTCGCTCCTCAGCGACGAGGCCCTCGCTATGATGGTGTACCTCCTATGGGCGGCTGAGCGTTGGGGCAGGTGGCCCACCCCGACTCTGATGATTCACGTCATGTTGCTGGCCAAGACCTCAGGCGGCTTTCGCCCTATCATGCTTCTCTCGTCCCTATACAGGGTCTACACCAAGATCCGCATAGGCCACGTTCGACGCTGGGCAGCTGACAACACGAGGCCTTTCTTCGCACTGGGAGCGGGGCGCTCCACCATTGACGTCGGCGCCAGGACCATGGTCTATGCTGAGGCCGCGGACCACACCCACGGGGACGAGGTCATCACTGCCATGGTTGACATCAGCAAGTGCTTCGACAGAGTCGACTGGAACAAGGTGGTCGAGGCGGCCCAGCGATTTGGGTTCCCACGAGGACTTCTACGGGCAGTTCTTTCCATGTATGCGGCCCCGAGGCGCATCAGGTGGGGCTCCACCTTCTCTTTCGCTGCTCGCGCCATGCAAGGCGTTCTCCCAGGCTGCTCGGTCGCAATGTTCCTGCTCCAGCTGGTGATGATGCTTCCCTTTGAGATCTACCAGACCTCTCTCGCGGCCATCCCGCACACCCTCGACATTTACGCCGACGATATCACGCTGCAGATCGCGATGCCGCGGGATGAGATCGTGGCCCACTCGGTCGCGGCCATCTCCCGCCTCGCCGTCGTCCTCACCGCCTTGCAGCTGCCCATCGCTCAGGACAAGGCCAAGATCCTCGGCTCGACGGAGACCATCGCCAGGTCGGTCGCCTCGCGGTTGGCCCAGCATGGCTTCTGCGCGGTCACTAAGCTGAGTATCCTGGGCCTGGAGTGTCGCGCGGGAGCTCGTCTCATGTACACCGAGGTCCACAAGCGCATCAGGCAGATGAAGGCCAGGATCCCGCGCTTCCGCCGCCTACGCGGATTGGCCCAGGTGACGAAACGCATCGCTCGCCCGTGCATTGCCCCTGGCATGACCTACGGACTCCAGGTAGTCGGGGCACCTCCTGCTACGGTACGCACAATGACCAGATTGGTCAGAACGGGATGGAGCAAGACACCAACAGGCTCCTCGACGATGCTAGCTTCATTCCTGGAGGCGGCGCCCCACCTGCAGCCCGAGGTCATGGCCGTCGTCGAGCCCATCTACACGTGGGCACAGTTGATCTTTGACGCACGAGTACCACGTGCAGTCCTACAACGTGCGTGGCGCATGCAGTCCTTGCGCCTTCAGTCTCCCACCTCGTCCTGGTCTCTGGTTGCGGGTCCAGCCAGTGCAGTGGTGATGGCGATTCGACGGCTTGGTTGGAGACCGCTGACATACTGCAGATGGCACACAGGCAATGGGATGACACTGGATTTGGAAGATATGGCCCCCAACTGGATACGCGCTGTGGCAAGGCGCAGTTTCAGGTCAGTACAATGGGAAGACTGGGCTAAGCGTACATCTCACTCTCCAGAACATCCTGAGCCTCCTCGAGACCCACGCGGATACTGGATCGAACCCGTCGCGGCCATGATGAACGCCGCCGAGGACGCCACCACCTGGAATCTCAGTCCACAGGCTCGAGGAGCGTTGCGATCTACGGTCATCGGTGCTCAATGGTCTCAGCTACGGCTTCACAAGATGGGATACTCGGACACCTCATCCTGTCAGCGCTGCGGACAGACTGGAGATCTGCATCACCGATTCTGGAAGTGCTCCTATCACTCAGAAGCCCGATTGCGTGCGGTTGATGATGAGCTGGTCGAGATGGCAAAGAGGTCGCATGTGGCGGATCCCTTTTTCACTCGTGCTCTCATGCCCAGGGCGATGCTGCCCGACATCCCGCCGCCTGTGGATTCACAACGATGGTGGTATTGCATGGGAGGTCAGGCGATGGACATCACTGGCACTGTCTACACGGACGGCTCTGCGCAGTGCCCGCTCTACTGGCCTGAGGCCAACCGTGCTGGTTGGGGACTGGCCATCCTTACGGGACGCCGTCTCAAGGGCATGGCGTTCGGGCCCTTGCCAGGGCCCATGCAGACGGCTCAACGCGGGGAGCTGTACGCCGCGCTTCAGGTTCTCCGACATGGACGGCTTCCTCTCCACATCAAGACGGACTGTCTTGGCTTAGTCGACTCGCTGACGTACGGAGAGGCTCATTGCTGCCACGTCCGCCGTGACAATGCGGACCTCTGGCGGCTCATCTGGAGGGCGATCAATGATCATGGAGGCATCTCAGACTCGCTCAAGATCACATGGGTAGCAGGCCATCAGACCCTTGTCGAGGCGGGCGCCGACAGCCTAGACAAGATCGGCAACGACTTCGCTGACGTGGCGGCCAAGAAGGGGACACGGCTGCACGGCGTCCCGTCGGCGGCCTACGAGGAGCACGCGCGCCTCCTCAAGGCGGTCAGGCAGACCGCGGGCTGGATCGGCGCGGCTCAGTCCTCCGCCATCCTGCTGGCGGACCGCGTGGAGGTCCAGGCCCGCCGGCAGCGGCGCACCAGCCGTCGCGGAGACGGACGCGCTCCCCAGGCGGCTGAGAGGGGCAGCCAGCCGCGTGGCGCGGCCCCTGCGCAGAGTGGAAAGTTTCACTCTCCCATCCTGGCCACCGTTGGGTGGCGATGTGCTTGCTGCCCTCGGTTCGCGCGAAACGCCAGAGGCCTCAGGAGGCTTCAACGTGAGATTTGCCCTGCGTGGGCGTTTCGGGCCCCCCCAGCCGAGGCTTCCCTCGGGAAGCGGCAGCTGGGAGACCAGGAGACCTCCGAGGTCTCCAGGTCGAAACGGCGTCGGACGGGGCCCGAGGAAGGCCCCCCGCCGAGCCTGGTGCGGGCCCCCCTGGATGATGGCGACACGCGGGGACTTCGACGGCGGCGGTCTCACGACGGCGATGGGGATTGTCTCAGGGGAGTTCGGCCTCGAGGGACCCCTTCCCTCGTTTCGACGGACCCCTCCTCGTCCTTCGGAGCCCCCACAGCAGCTGAGGTGGAAAGCCGTCCTGGGTCCGAGGGATTGGCACGCGGTTTGAGGTCCTGCACCCCATCCCCCCGTGTCCCCTCCCCTCCTCGCCCTCGACCTCTTTCGGACCTCGCCTCCTCCTCCTCCGCCTCCCCCGCTGCTGCGCCGCTGCCGCCTGGGCCTTCTGGTCGTTTTTCGAGGGTCTCGTTTGCCGAGGGACCTGATGCCCCCGAGAGGCCTCAGGAGGTGGTTCGGGTGGCGGCGCAGGCGGCTAGCTCTCGTGGTGTGAAGCGCGCGTCGAAAGGGGCGCCCCCCTCCCGAGCGGGAGCGACGGCCCCTGTGGCCCCTCTCCCGCGCTCGGGAGAGGTCCCCCCCGAGAGCGCGAGGGGGCACACCCTGTACGTGTCTGGGGATCTCGTGGGGTGCAGCCAATGCGGGGCCTTCTCGGCCAGGACGGCGAGGACCCAGCTGTTCTGGGAGTGCGACCCCGAGGCCGCCCTGACGGGCAATCCCCAGCGCAAGTGGCGGAGGGATAATTTTATGAAGGGCATCCACCCGAAGGGGAGGGTGTCCCAGGCCATCGTGCCACCCCGCAGGCTGCTGGTCACGGACGATGCGGTCCAGTGGCTAGGCCTGCTCTCTATTTCGTGAGCCCCCTTGGGGCTCTCTTGGGACGGGGGCCTCATTGGCCCCGTCTCGGGTGTCTGGCGCTCGGCCCTGGGCACCTCTCGGGTTCGCTTGGCGTGGCCGCGAAGCCTCGGCTGGGCTCTGAGCGCCCTGGGGACCCGAGTGTTTTTGTGATCGATTGCGCTTTCCTCTGCTTTTCCTGCCGCCGCCGCCTCTCTTTTGCCTGCACTCCGCGCGTCGCTTCATGGGGTCGCGACTCCTCCTCCTCCTCCTCCTCCTCCTCCTCCTCCTCCCTCCTCCTCCTCCTCCTCCCTCCTCCTCCTCCTCCTCCCCTCCTCCTCCTCCTCCTTCTTCTCCTCTCCTCCTCCTCCTCCTCCTCCTCTCCTCCTCCTCCTCCTCCTCCTCCTCCTCCTCCTCCTCCTCCTCCTCCTCCTCCTCCTCCTCTCCTCCTCCTCCCCTCCTCCTCCTCCTCCTCCTCATCCTCCTCCTCCTCCTCCCTCCCCCCTCCTCCTCCTCCTCCCTCCCTCCTCCCTCCCTCCCTCCCTCCCTCCCTCCCTCCCTCCCTCCCTCCCTCCCTCCCTCCCTCCCTCCCTCCCTCCCTCCCTCCTCCTCCCCTCCCTCCTCCCCCTCCCTCCTCCCTCCTCCCTCCTCCCCTCCCTCCTCCTCTCCTCTCTCCTCATCCTCCTCATCCTCCTCATCCTCCTCCTCCCTCCTCCTCCTCCTCCCCCTTCCTGGCGCCCGCCAGGCCTGGCACGGCGCCGCGGCGGGGCGCCGCGGCGCCTCCGCAGCTCGCGGCGCCGCCGCTGGCGCGGCAGGCGCCGCGCCCGCCCTCGCGGCTGCAGCCGCGCTCGCCGCCGCGGCGGGCCGCCGCGGCGCGGCCGCCCTCGCGGGCGGCGCGCGCCGCGAGCGTTGCGGGCAGGCGCTAAGAGGAGGAAAAGGTACCCATACCTGTACACTTCTGCCGGTTTCCCCTTTCTGGGCCTCTTGGGAGGCCCTCGTCGCCACCGCTGGATTCGCGTCGAAATTCTGGTCAGAGCGCACCCTGGGGGAGGTTCGGGGGTAGCGTATCAGTACCGTTTGGTTTACTCAGGCGCGGGCGGCCGCCACGGCGCGGGGCGCCGCGGCGGCGGCGGAGGCGCCGCGGGCCGCCCGCGACGACGACGGAGGTCTGCGGTGACGACGGCCACGACCACGACCACGACCACGACCACGACCACCACGACCACGACCACGACGACGACGACGTTAAGTCGGGCCTGTCTCTCTACAGGGGGGATATTCCAAAATAGTCAAACATAGTTTGGGGACGATGCTGTTTACCATTTTGTATAACTTGCTGGTATATTATGGTATTCTTTATTGTTCTTCCAAAATCCGCCTGTAGGGGGACATGCCCGACCGAAGGGTGGGGTCATCCAGCAACGTTCTCATTGACCCCACCCTCGGCCGAGAGGTTGGCAGACGTCGAAGTTGATGGCGACCTCGGCCAAAAGCACTGACATCATCGTCCATCCCCTCCTCTCCTTCCTCTCTTGCCCCTCGGTCCCTTCCCCCGTTCCCACCCTCGCACTTTGCTCATCGCCAGTCCCCGCTGGCAGGCGGTGGACTTCCGCCAGGGCGTCGGCGCTGCGGCGGCCGCTCGGGTGGGCGGCGGCGTGGAGATCCTGCTCGTGCCGTGCCTCAGCGACAACTACGCGCCCGTGCTGCACGACCCCGCGACGGGCGCGACGGCCGTGGTGGACACGCCCGAGGTGGTTGCCACGAGTCAATGTACTGCCCTGGTATCCGACGACACGTGAGCGACGTAAAGAGACGGGGTCGTCTGCGCCGACATTCGTGCGTGAGCTGCCCGCGTAAGGTCGCGCGTAAGCGCCCTCGCTTTCACTGCAGCATGCCTCGCTGGCGGCCCGCGTAGGCTTCGGCGCAAGGTCGCTGTGCCATCTCGCGTAAGGCCCGTTTCTGTTCGTCGTTCTTGTGTCTTTCCCTTGGCATCGCTCGGACATGTGTATTTTGTCTCGGCGACGACCATCGAGGAGCCTTTTGGGTCATCAGGCTAGAAAAAATAACACGCCTGGAACCGTGCACTAACCCGGGCTTGGGCGCAGCATCCTGCAGGATGTTGCGGGATTTTGCAAAGCCCGATCGACCCAGGTCTGGAATGGCCGGAGTCAGTAGATCCCCGCTAAAGCCCGAGCGCTGCAATGTTTAATCACGGGCGTTTTCGCTCAGTTTCGGGCCCCGGGACCCTCACAGATCGATCTGGCTATATCTATATATATAGAGATACAGATATATATATATATATACACATATAGAAATAAGGCATATACACATTTAAAGATATATAACATTTGGAACATGTTTTTGAAACAATATATATATATATATATATATATAACGCAAGAGTGGATCTGGGGCTCCTGTTCGTAGTGTCTCGCGAGATCCCCAGACCTCGCGCCGTCCAACAATCACGACGGACCGTTTTTCGCAGCCACCTTTCGGCCCCGGGACCGTCAGTCTAGGCCTCCTAGATGGGGTCGGAGTGGATGGGGTCGCAAGATCTCGCCGCATCGCCGATGCATCGCCGATGCATCGGCGATGCGGCTCGATGTGGGGCCCGATTTGCTCCACGCCGACGTCGCGGAAATATCGCCGACGTCGCCAGTGCATGGCCGATGCATCGCCGATGCATCGGCGATGCATCGCCGATGCATCGGCGATGCGGCGAGATCTTTCGACCCCATCTACTCCGACCCCATCTAGGAGGCCTCCTAGTCAGAAGACACGGCTCGGGGCGGAGGCCCGGGCCCCCCGGGAAGGGGACGAGGCGGCGGAGGCCCCCGCCCTGCAGAGGTTAGGACCGACCGCATGCCTGGGTGCACACCGGCACCGATACCCATCGGGAATTGGATTATTTTTGGGGTATTTCTATTTTTCGTCGAAAATTCCCCTGTAGGGGGACAGGCCCGACTAAAGACTATGTGGTTGAACATGTTCGAACAGTTTTTGACTATTTCGTATGTTTTTCCTCCCGAGTCCGCCCGTAGGAGCACATGCCCGACCCAAAGCTTGTCTCGAGGAGCGAGCGCGGCGCGAACACGCCATCTCTGAGGTCCGCGCTGATCTCTTGGACCGGCGCTGGGCTCCCCTTGGCGGCGCCTCCGACGCCGCCCCTTGGCGCGCTGCGCGCGCCGGGGGGGGGGGGGCTGGAAGCGCCGATCCACAGCATCTGCGTGGACTGCCGGGAAGCATGCTTGTGCCGCGGAGTGTCGCTCCAGTTTCTCGGGGGTGGACAGAACCCCCAACAGTGGCACGTCGATTCGTGAGTTGTCCGTTCTCGATTCTCGAGAGGGCGCCGCGGCCGTTCTTTTCCAGGCTTGCGCCCGCCAGGTTTGGGCCTCGGGCCGTTTTCACTGAACCACGTTTTACTAAAGGGAGGTCTGTCCATCCCCGAATCCAGGCCGCTCCTCTTGCCTTGGCCGGGTAGGCGTGCACCGGGAGCGGAAAAGAGGGGGGTGCTGACTAGGGGGGGGGGAATTTCATGGCGCGGGCCATGATGTTTCCTCGGTTTTCATGGCGCCTCTTCTTATTTTATTGCGTCCCAGGCCCCCGCTGGGCCGCGCACATGCCGCCGGTCATGATTTGCACCCCCCCCTCTTGGACACCCCCCTCTTGGCCGCTCCCGAGCACAGTGGGGGCGCGCACGAAGAATACCATTCGCCTTTCGTCTGGGTGCCCTGGGTTTCTTCGCTCCGCGCGCTGCGCGGTGACTTCCAGGGCCGTCGAAGAAGCTGCTGCGGTCAGGGTGCTCCGGGTTTCTCCTCTCAGGCGCACCTCGCGCGCGGGTTTTCAGGGTTGGTTTTCTTGCGAGGGTTTCTTGCGACCGCGCCCGCACTGTCTGTCTAGGCTTCCTAGATGGGGTCGGAGTAGATGGGGTCGGAGGACCGCGCCGCATCGCCGATGCGCTGCTTGTTCGGTTCGGACGTGTGCGTCCAAGTGGTGAGCATAGTATGCCCTTCTGCGTCCCAATCATGGCAAGGTGGGCCCCATCCTGGCCGCGATCGAGGAGAGGGGTTGGAAGCTGACGCACATCCTGAACACGCACCACCACCACGACCACGCCGGGGGCAACGAGGAGCTGAAGCGGAGGACCGGCTGTGTGGTGATAGGCCCTGCTGGGGAGGCGGAGCGCATTCCCGCGATCGACACGCCCGTGGGGCAGGGTGACACGGTGAAGGTCGGTCCGTTGCCGGGATTCTTCGAAATCTGGGCCTGAGCGCCCGTCTGGCGGCCATGCTGTTGCCGTCGCCGCCCCGGCCCGCCGCTGCCGCCCCGTGGCACCCCCACCGCACCCCGCGTTGCAACCCAGTCGACTGCAATCGATTGCACCATGAGAAGTGCTCCTCACAGCTTGCACAATACAGATTGTACAACACAGATTGCACCACACTGATTGCACAACATGGACTGCACCACCTAGAGTGCACCACATAGACTGCTCCACAGAGATTGCACAACGTCGCCGCGCCGTTTGTTCCGACGCGCGAGTTTGCCGTGGGTTTGCCGTGGGAGCCAGCTTCGTCTCTTCGGGCGCGGGGTGCAGGGCTTGACGTGAGTTTGCCGTGGTGTCGGCGTCGTCCACTTTGGGCGCGTCGAGAACAAGCGGCGCGGCGACCATAGATTGCACCACATGGATGGCGCCACATGCATTGCACCACATAGATTGCACGGCACAGGTTGCGCCACACAGGTTGCACAACGTAGATTGCACTGCCTAGATTGTTCCACAGGTCGCACCACAGAAGGCTGCTGGAAACACACTGTCTGGGGGTCCACGCTGGCTAACAACTATATATATATATATAATTATATATACATACCACATCATTATATACACAAACAAGCACAGCAAATGTGCAGGTCGGCTCGCTGGAGGCCGAGGTCCTCGAGGTCGGCGGCCACACGGCGGGGCACATCGCCTACCACTTCCCGCGGCAGCGCGCGGCCTTCGTCGGCGACGCCCTCTTCGTGCTGGGCTGCGGCCGGATGTTCGAGGGCACGCCGGCGCAGTTCTGGGAGTCGCTGCTGAAGCTGCGGGCCCTGCCAGACGACACGGTGGTCTACTGCGCGCACGAGTACACGGAGGCTCAGTTGCCCTGATACACCCGTTCTGGAACGCAACGCGTACTGTGTTCAAGACATGTGGCTTAGCACGCTGTGTGTTGGCTCATTACTTGTTGGCTCACGTTGTTTGGGATGCAGTTCTTGGGAGATTAATTTCAGCATCGGCGCTGGTAGACCCGTGATCGAAAACTGGCCCAATCTGGCCGAATCCCGATTGATTCCGCTGACTCCTGCCAAGTCCGGTTTAATCTTGGGCTCAATCTGGCTCAGTGGCCCCCACATCAAGTTTCAAAGCCCCCCCCATCGCCCTCAAGAAGGCTTCCCAGGAAGTCGTGGCGAGCGTATCGCCCCAGACACGCGTGTCTACGTGTCGAGCTTCCTGTCAGCACCCTCTGGGCTGCTTGCTGTGCCTCGGGGCAGCGGAGCACGGAGGCCAACGCCCGCTTCGCCACGCACCTCGGCGGCATCCCGCGGCTGCCAGAGCGCGTGTCCGCGATCTCGGAGCTCAGGGCCGCCGGCCAGGCCACGGTGCCTACGCTGCTCGGCCTAGCGCGGCCGCCGCTGTCGTCGTCGAGTCGTCGTCGTCTTCGTCGTCGTCTTCGTCGTCGTCGTCGCCGCCGTCGCCGTCGTCGACTCGTCGTCGTCGACTTGTCGTCTTCGTCGTCGTCTTCGTCGTCGTCGTCGCCATTGCAAGTCGGCTTGCCGCTGGTGGCGGCGCTCCGCGGGGCCGCTCCGTTGAGGACGTTTGGTTTTCGCTTCATGACGCGGGCCGCCGCCGGCCGTTCGGGACGATCCAGGCACCCCCGGAACGCCCTCGGTGAAGCGCAGCAGCTGGAGAGCATCCTGAGGCTGAAAACCGCCGAGAACCGACGAACCCCGTCGTCGTCGATCGTCGACGTCGTCGTCGTCGTCGTCGGTGTTGGTGTTGGTGTCGGTGTCGTCGTCGTCGTGGTCGTCGTCGGCGGCGTTGTCGGTGTCGTCGGTGTCGTTGTCGTGGTCGTCGTCGGCGTTGTCGACGGCGGCGGCGGCGTCGGCGTCGGCGTTCCTGTCGCCGTCCCGCCGGGCAGGCCACGGTGCCTACGCTGCTCGGCCACGAGAAGGAGACGAACCCCTTCCTGATGGCGGACTCCGACGCGGTGCGGGCCGCCGCTGGCGTGCCGGCGGGCGCCACTCCAGTGGAGGTTCGGGTCGGGCGAACAGGGCCGTGACATGTTCGCTTCTTGTTTGTTTCCTCCCACAGACTAACAGCAACAACAGCAGCAGCAACAACAACAAAAGCAGCAACAACAACAACAACAAAACAACAAACAACAACAAAAAACGCTGCGCGGCGGCCTGGATCCTCCTTCCCTGAGATCCGGGCGTAACGCTGCGGGTTGTTCACAATGGGCATGTTCGCCCAGCATCCCAGGACCATCACAGACGGATGCCGCTCGAAAGTGGCAGCAGAAGGATTGGGTCTCGGGTTCCTGTCGTCGAAGATGTTTTTGGTTGACGTCGGATCACATCACGATGGAAGGTCTTGAAACCGTTTCCGGCTTCTGGCGGCCTTTCTTGGGCCCCGGGGGTGGTGAGCAGAACGATTTGTGGTGAACAGCCAGTCTTGGGACAGGGGTCGGGACTTCTTCGAGGGCCCCGCGATGGAACAATAACAGCATCGGATGGGATGTCTCGGGGGCTTGCTAAAGTCACCTGGCGCGCTCCTCTACTCTTCGCACAAAGTGCCTACTCGCAAACGTCCGATAAGCGCATGCTTGCCTGCATGTAATGCAGCGCAGATCCCTCGCGGCGGAACCAGGCCAGTTGCGAGCAGCTACTCTGCCAGTAGTGGAGCGCGCTTGTCTACAAGGGTGCCCCAAGGTCAAGGCGCCCCCAGCTATTCGTTCCACTTGGGAGCCCCTGGGGCCCTCTGGGCCTCGCGAGGGGTGCTCGGCAGGCCGTGGGGGCCTCCTTGGAAAGCCTGGGGGCACCTTGGGCCAGGGGCACTTCTAGCAACACCCGAATGTCTTCAGGAGGGGAAAAAACACACAGACACAATTAATCGTCGACTCCCAGGAAAATGTGCAAAAATATGGGAAGTGGAGGGGGAAGACAGAAACCCAGAAAATATGGAAAAATATGGGGAACATGTTTATTTGTGTGTATTTATTTGTGTGTCCTGGGGCCCCTTCATGTCTGGAGGGGGGGTGGACTGAGAAGTCGGGGGCAACGACCAGGGGGGAATTGGCTCCAGGGCGACGGGGGGGCCTCGGCCCCCCCCTCGCCCACTCACTGCCCCCCTCGGGTCCTGGGCCAGCCAACACCCGCCCAGGAGCGCAGGGTTTCGCTATGGGAGGCCTGTCGCGGAATTGTCGGCGATGCATCGGCGATTTCAACTCATCGCTTCCCCCCTTCGGTCTGGGCCTCCTAGATGGGGTCCGAGTAGATGGGTCGGAGGATCGCGCCGCATCGCCGGTGCATCGCCGACGCGGCTCGACGTGGAGCCCGATTTTCCCCACGCCAGCGTCGCGGATGCGTCGCCGATGCATCGCCGACGCATCGCCGATGCATCGCCGATCCAGTGCAATCCGCCGACCCCATCTACTCGGACCCCATCTAGGAGGTCTCTCCTCAGACGGTCCCGGGCCGCTGCCCCCCTCGGCAGAGAAGGGGGTGGTGCCAGATCTGCTGCAGGCAGCCGGCTCCGGCCCCACCGCCAGACACCTGCCTCCTCGAGGCACGGGCGTCTGCGGTGGAAAGCCAGGTGCGGGAGCTGATTCTCAAGCAGTGGCGAAGCGTCCTGGCTCGCCTATAGCCCTACCAAACAATGTTCTAAGAGCCTGTTGTGGTTTCCACGAAATGTTCTTAGAACATTTCTGGCGGAGTCTGTTTTGTTTTGTCACATCGGGTTCATGTCCTAAGAGCATTGTTTTTTGTTATTAGAACATTTGTAGGTTCTAAGAACATTTCGTGGTAGGACTATAGGAATGCCGGGATGGTCGGTCCCTGCTCAAGATTCGCCCCCACCACCACCCGCCCTCCAAGAAGCTTACGCCAGTGCGCTCCGCGACCCCCAGAAATACAGAACCCTCCTCGGTCGCCCGGCGGTGGGGCTGTTGCGGAAACGCCGCGGGACAGTACGGCCCGTTGTGGAGGATGTATTTTTTTGAGCTGAAGTCGACTTCGGCAGCGAAGCATCGGAGCCATGTACACCCTTCAAATTCCGTCTTTAGCGTCGATTAGCGTCCGCGAGTCGATGAGATAGCGCCGATTTAGAGTCGGCTAGCGTCGATTAGCGTCGATACAGCGCCGACTAGCTCCGGTTTCGCGTCGAGTAGCGTCGGTTCGCAAGAGCCCACAAGAGCGTACGGGAGGCTCCCAGGAGCTGTCACCGAAAGCAGAAGGAGAAGGAAGACGTGGACGCGGAGGACGAGGAGGACGAGGGAGGGCGAGGGCGAGGACGAGGACGAGGAGGAGGACGAGGGGAGGCGAGGGCGAGGGCGAGGACGAGGACGAGGACGAGGACGAGGAGGACGAGGGGAGGCGAGGGCGAGGGCGAGGGCGAGGACGAGGACGAGGACCAGCAGGAGGAGCCGTCGAGCGGGGCCCTGCGGGCACGAGCCCACCCCGCGTGGCCTCTCGCGCACCGAGCACTCGGAGGCCGTGCCCGTCGCGGGGCTCGGCGGGGGCCTCTTCGATAATTGAGGCCTCGGAGGCTGCCTCTCGGGAGCCTCCCAGAGTCAGGAGAGGAAAAAACACACAGGCACAATGAATCGTCGATTTCCGGGAAAATATGGGAAAATATGGGAAGTGGGGGGGGAGATAAAAACTCTGAAAACATGGAAAAATATGGGGAATATTGTTATTTGTGTGTATTTATTTGTGTGTCCTGGGGCCCCTTCACAGAGGCCGTCTTGGAGCCTCCTTGGGCTGTCTTCCAGGCAGCCTGGGCCGTCGCCATGCCCTCTTGCGGCCGTCCTGGGCCGCCGTGGGCCAGTTGTTGGGGGGGCTCCTCGGGCCCTCTGTCTTTGGAGCTGCCAGAAGCACGAAGGGTGGACATGGTCAAAGTCATTCAAGAGCTTGAGGAGCACTGATTTGTGTCTCGTGAGGCCTTCTTGGGAGTCGTCTTGGAGCCTTATTGGGGCGTCTCATGAAGAGGAGGAAGGAGGAGGAGGAGGAGGAGGAGGAAGGAGAGGGCACGAGGGGAAAGGGGGAGGAGGAGGAGGAGAAGGAGGAGGAGGCGAATCCGCAGCCATTTTGGCTCAAGCTGTTCTGCTTGCGAGCCACTCCGGAAGCTTGCGACGACGCCCCGGATTCTTCTCTTGCCCCGTGGACGATGTCGCTGGCGTTTGTCGCCGCACCCCCCGCCGTGGCGCCCCAGGCCGCGCCGCGCCTGCGGTGGCCGATCATCCGCGCCAGAGGCGAGCCCTTTCGCGGGCATCCCGGCCACGGTCGGGTTGGGCGCGGCGGCCATCGCCGTGGGCTCCTCCGTGGTCACGCGCCGCGCGGCCGCAGTGAAGAAGAAGGGCGTGAAGGTCGTCCAGCAGCTAGATGGCAGGGAGATCCCGTGGAACCTGTTCATGCCGAAGGCGCCGTACCAGGGCACAGTGATTGAGAACGACGTGCAGGCGCACACCATCACCAAGCCCAACAGCAGCTCCCCTGGGCGATGCCAACTGGGAGACGACGCACGTGACCTTCGACCACGGGGGCAAGGTGCCGTACGTCGAGGGACAGTCCATCGGGGTCATCGCGCCCGGCCCCGATAAGAAGGGCGAGACCCCGGCCAAGATCCGTCTCTACTCGATGGGTTCGTCGGCCGTTGGTGATTGCCAGGACTCCATGACGGTCCCTCTGCGTCAAGCGTGTCGTCGAGGTGGAGGAGAAGAAGTGGCCCCTCAAGCACTCCAATCGCGATGTCGGAGAAGACAAGCCTGACAAAGCTGGCACCTGCTTCCCCGACGCCAAGGTTTACCGCGGCGTGTGCTCGAATCACATTTGCGACATAAGCGAGTGTGACGAGGTGCTGATCACAGGCCCGACCGGCGCCGAGATGCTGCTGCCGAATGAGCAGGACTGCAACATCATCATGCTCGCGACGGGCACCGGCATCGCGCCGATGCGCTCCTACATGCGCCTGCTCTTCCACGACAAGGTCGGCGCCAACCCCGACGGCACCCGCAAGTTTCAGGGCTTGGCATGGCTCTTCCTCGGCGTCCCTTACTCGAATTCGCTGCTCTACGTTGACGAGCACGACGAGTACACGAAGCAGTTCCCCGACCAGTTCCGCGCCGACTACGCGATCTCGCGTGAGCAGAAGAACGCCGCGGGCCAGAGGATGTACATCCAGACGAGGATGGCGGAGGAGCTCTGGGAGCTGATGCAGTCTCCGAAGACCCACATCTACATGTGCGGGCTGAAGGGCATGGAGGCGGGCATGGAGGAGTGCTTCACACCCCTCGCGACGAAGGCAGGCGTCGATTGGAAGGAGTTCGCGAAGGAGATGAAGAAGGCCCACCGCTACCACGTTGAGGTGCACTGAGCCGCCTCGCGCACCAGTCGAAGGAGGAAGAATGCTACAAAGATGAACTTTTGGCGCTCGGCGTGGATTTCTTGGGTCCGCGCTGGGCTCCTCCAGCGGCGCCCCTGGCGCGCTCCGCGCGCCGCGCCAGGGAGGGGTGTCCAGCGCGGATCCAACAAATCCGCGCGGAGCGCCAGAAGTTTCTGCCCACGGTGTTTGCTCTCCTTCCAGCGGAGGTGGAGGCGGAGGAGGTGGAGGAGGAGGCGGAGGCGGAGGCGGAGGAGGAGGAGGAGGCGGAGGAGGAGGAGGAGGAGGAGGAGGACGAGGAGGACGAGGCGGAGAGGTGCCCGGGAACCCGTGCCCCGCGGAGCTCGAATCTCGAGCCCGCTCGGCGGCACGGCGAGGGGGGCGCCTCGCCGAGTGTGCCTCGCTCGGTCTTCGATTTCTTCGCTCGGCATCGCTCGGACGTGTGCCTCCTCCTCCTCCTCCTCCTCCTCCTCCTCCTCTCGGCGAGAACCATCGAGGACCATCCTGGACCATCGAGCAATAAAAAAACACGCACGAGACCGAAGAATGCACAGGACATGGACGTCCGAGCGGCGGCCAGTTCAGCGCCGCGCCGCATGCCAGCGTTCCAGCGCTCAGCAGGGGGCGCTCACACCGTGCCTCGCCCGTGCGCACAAGCTGTGCGCAGCGGTGCTGCGCCGCTCACGAAGTCAGCACGATCCAGATGGGCAAGGAGGCGAGGGAGGACGACGAGGCCTGTTGGGAGTCCGGAGGTCTGTATGGGGTTCGTCGCGGGGCTTCGGGGTGCCCTCTTAAGCCTCTTGGAGGGTCCGGGAGGGCCTCGTGGGATCTTGTTGGGAGCATCGGGGGAGCCATGGGATGCCGTCCTTGGGGCTGCTTGGGAGGCTCCTCGGGGGGAGCCTTCTCCGGGGCTTTAGGGAGCTTCTTGGAGGCACGAGGGGTCTTGGGCTCCCAGAGCATCTTCGAGCTCCCCCTCTTGGGAGCCCCCAGGGCCCTCTGTGGAGCCTCTCTGGAGCCTCTTCGGCCCCGCCGCCGGATGCCTTCCTCAATAGGCGCCTCCAGTGCCAGGAGGCGCTTGGAAAACCAGGTGCGCGAGCTGAGTCGCTCGGCCCCCCCCTGCTAACCCCATCACTTACTTTTCCGACTCGCGGGGTATCCGCGACACGATCGCTTAAATATTTGTGGCCGTTGGGGCGTTTGCTCCTGTACCTCCTCGGCTCCATCAGGCACTCTTGGCTAAGATTCTCGTTTGGGGTACATTCCTGGGGCTCACCTAACGGATCTGTTCGACTCCAGATCGACCCCAGTTCGACTCAAGTTCGATTCAGGTTCGACTCAAGTTCGATTCAGGGTCGACTCAGATCGACGGACCTTCGACGCAGCTTGGACGCACGAGCGGAGCGAGTGTCTCCAGGAAGGTCCCCAGGATGAGCATCCAACTTGGCTACGGATCTTGCCCGTGCGTGTGGCAGTGTGTCAGGAGGGAAAAAAAAACACAGACATGACCAATCGTCGATTCCCAGGAAAATGTACGAAAGTATGGGAAGTGGGGGGAAGACGAAAAATAAAATTATCCCAGAGCGACCCTACCTAGGAGTTGGAGCCCCGAGGAGAGCATTATTAGTAGTAACGGTAAACGCCGTCCTCCTCCTTCTCCTCATCGTCGCAGTTGTAGCAGTAGCGGTAGTAGTAGTAGTAGTAGTAGTAGTAGTAGTAGTAGTAGTAGTAGTAGTAGTAGTAGTAGTAGTAGTAGTAGTAGTAGTAGTAGTAGTAGTAGTAGTAGTAGTAGTAGTAGTAGTAGTAGTAGTAGTAGTAGTAGTAGTAGTAGTAGTAGTAGTAGTAGTAGTAGTAGTAGTAGTAGTAGTAGTAGTAGTAGTAGTAGTAGTAGTAGTAGTAGTAGTAGTAGTAGTAGTAGTAGTAGTAGTAGTAGTAGTAGTAGTAGTAGTAGTAGTAGTAGTAGTAGTAGTAGTAGTAGTAGTAGTAGTAGTAGTAGTAGTAGTAGTAGTAGTAGTAGTAGTAGTAGTAGTCGTAGTAGTAGTAGTCGGTAGTAGTCGTAGTAGTCGTAGTAGTCGTAGTAGTAGTAGCAGTAGTAGTAGTAGTAGTAGTAGTAGTAGTAGTCGTATTAGTCGTAGTAGTAGTAGTAGTAGTAGTAGTAGTAGTAGTAGTAGTAGTAGTAGTAGTAGTAGTAGTAGTAGTAGTAGTTGTAGTAGTAAGTAGTAGTAGTAGTCGCGTAGTAGTAGTAGTAGTAGTAGTAGTAGTAGTAGTAGTAGTAGTAGTAGTAGTAGTAGTAGTAGTACGTAGTAGTAGTAGTATAGTAGTAGTAGAGCGTAGTAGTAGTAGTAGTAGTAGTAAGTAGTTAGTAGATAGTGAGTAGGTAGGAGTAGGGTAGGAGTAGTAGGAGTAGTAGGAGTAGTAGGAGTAGGAGTAGAGGAGTAGGAGTAGAGTAGGAGTAGGAGTAGGAGTAGGAGTAGGAGTGGAGTAGGAGTAGGAGTAGGAGTAGGAGTAGGGGTAGGAGTAGGAGTAGTAGTAGTAGTAGTAGTAGTAGTAGTAGGAGTAGGAGTAGAGTAGTAGTAGTAGTAGTAGTAGTAGAGTAGTAGTAGTAGTAGTAGTAGTAGTAGTAGTAGTAGTAGTAGTAGTAGTAGTAGTAGTAGTAGTAGTAGTAGTAGTAGTAGTAGTAGTAGTACAGTTTAATAATTGCATCTACATCTAGCCCTACATCCACCTGTACACCTACAGCTCCATCTACATGTACACATGCATATACATGCTATGCTATGCTGTGTTATGCTGTGCTGTGCTGTGCTGTGCTGTGCTATGCTATGATGCGCTGTGCTATGCTAAGCAATGCTATGATATGGTATGATATGCTATGCTGTGCTATGCTATGTTGTGATATGCTGAGCTATGCTATGCTATACTTGGCTATGATATGCTATGATATGCTGTGTGAATGCTGCGCTAAGCTAAGGTAAGGTAAGCTAAGCTTTGTTAAGCTGAGCTAAGCTAGGCTAAGATACGCCAAGCTAAACCAAGCTAAGCTAAGATGAGATAAGCTAAGCTAAGCTAAGCTGAGCTAGGCTAGGCTAGGCAAAGCAAAGCTAAGCTAAGCTAAGATGAGATAAGCTAAGCTTAGCTAAGCTAAGCTAAGCTAAGCTAAGCTGGGTGAACCCAGGGGGCGCAACTGGGGGAACCGTGGGGTGGATCCTGGGGGAACCGCCCGGGGCGATATCCACTGCCCGGCCCCTTTAAGAAAGAGACTAAGAACCCTCTAGGCAGAGCCTAGGTAGGGAAACATTGGAAAATATGGGGAATCCTGTGATTTATATATATATATATATGTATATATAAAAATGTGTATATATATATGTACATATATAAATATATATACATATATGTATGTATGTATGTATGTATGTATGTATGTATGTATGTATGTATGTATGTATGTATGTGTGTATGTATGTATGTATGTATGTATGTATGTATGTATATATGTATGTATGTGTGTATGTATGTATGTATTTATTTATTTATTTTTTATTTATTTATTTATTTATTTATTTATGTGTGTGGCCCAGGGCCCCTTCAAGAATGAGCATCCAACTTGGCTACGGATCTTGCCTGCGCGTGTGGCAATATGGGCCCTCGTGCGCACTCGGGGTCGGGGCAGACCCCGTGGCGCGCCGTGCAGACTCGAGCGACGTGCACGTGCCGTGCATGGTCGTTGCCTCTGGGAGCAGCGCAACCCTGGCTATGCATGGGGCTTTAGTTTAAAGTCGTGCGTGTCCCTCTACAGGAGGAACATTCCAAAACAGTTTTAAAACAGGTCCGTATGTTTTGACTATGGTTTCGAATTTGTCGCCCAAAATCCCCCTGTATGGGGGACACGCGCGACTTAACTTTAGATGCTCGTTTGGGGGACATTCCCGGGGCCCACTTAGCGGATCAGTCCGATCCAGGGTCGACTCAGATCGACGGACGTTCGACGCAGCTTCGACGCACGAGCGGAGCGAGTGTCTCCCAAAAGGTCCCCAGAATGAGCATCTAATTGGTTACGAGTGGGGTTGTGGCGACCAGATCAGACGGTCCTCCGTCAGCTCTTCGTGATTCTCGAGGCCTTGCTGGTTGTGATAGACGCCTGAACCAGAGGGATACACGCGGGCGCCTGCCCAACCACCAGCACTCACCACCGGGGGGCACGATGCCCCCTGCGCACCCTCACATCCGTTCGGATGCAGCTCCTGGGAGGCCAACTTCGGATGTTGCCCCGGTCCGAAGTCCGGCCTGATCCGGCTTGATCCCGCTGAATCCCGCTGAATCCCGCCTGATCCGGCTGAATCCCGCCTCATCCGGCTCAATCCCGCTTGATCCGAAGCCCACTTTGGCGCAACAGCCCCGCCGGTGGGGCTGACGCCTCCTTCTTATCATCTCTCCGCCGAAGGCCTCCCGGCGGCTGCGTCCCGAGATCCGGACGCCCAGAGACCACCAAGAGAGACGGCCCCGCCGCCCGCCGCCTCCCCGTTGGCCGGCGGTGCCCCTGCCCGCCTGTCCTCCGCCTCCGCCCCGATGTCGGGGGTTGCTAAAGGTGCCCCTGGCCCAAGGTGCCCCCAGCTTCTCGATCGATTTTGAAGCCCCTGGGGCCCTCTGGGCCGCGTGAGGGGTGCTCTGGAGGCCGTGGGGCCTTCCTGGAAATCCTGGGGGCACCTTGGCCCAGGGGTCACTTCTAGCAACACCCGACGATGAAAACCACACCCTTCGGAGTCCGATCGATGGTCTCCGCCGCCTCCCCGGAGCGCAGGTCTGGGCCGCCGTGCGCCGGCAGAAGGACAGCTTCTGACCCGCGCAGCCCCCCGTCGGGCCGCCTCTGCCCGGGGCGGCCCCGGGCCCGAAGAGAGCGGGCGAGGCACGGCGGTCGCTCGGCGCCACATCCTTCGGGGGCGGCAAAGAGGGGGGTGATGACTAGGGGGGGTGGATGTCATGGCGTGGGCCATGACATTTCCTTTGATTTCAGGGCGCCGCTTCGTATTTCATTGCGCTCCTGGCCCCCCCCCGCTGGGCCGCGCTCATGCCGCCGGCCATGATTTGCGTTTTTTCCGCGTGGACGCCCCCCCCCCCCATTGGCCGCCCCCGAATCCTGGGCTCGGACGGGGCTTGCGGTTCCTCAGAGCAGCCTCCGGGTGTTCCACTGGGCGCCACGCCGGTTGACCTACATCGAAGGCAGAGGATTGTCGGAGGGACGGAGGGCGCCCCCGCTTCAAGGCGTGGCCCTCCGCGACGCGCACGGTCGTTGCTTTGAGCAACAGCTTCGGGGACGGAGGAGCGGCGTGTTCGAAAGCGAGCTGTCGTCCAGCGCCGCGCACGCGGGCCTTGCAGACCTGCAGCAGCTTCAGGGGCACAGGGCAGCGTGTGTCTGAAGTGCGGCTCTCGCCCCAGCGGCACGCCCACTGTTGTTGCTGTCGCGTGCAGCACTCTCAGGGGCGTGGGGCGGTGTGTGTTGCAAAGTGGTGCTCTCGCAGTAGCGCCGCGCGCTGTCTTGACGCGTTGCGCCAGTTTCGAGTCAAGGATGCAGCACCGGCCGTCTTCAACATCGGGTTCTCGCCCCGGCGCGGCGCACATTGCTTGTCAGACGCTGCGACAGTTCGACGGATGGAGGGCGGTGTTTGGTTTGCCCTGCAGTTCTCGGTCTAGATTCTCCTACGTTGAAAGAACCAAGAAAATCTCAACACATGTAGCACTGCACGGATTGAGGGTGGCTCCCTTTCTCAAAATGGAGCTCCCGTTTGAGAGCCCCCCGGCGTTCACGACCACAAGTGAAAGCACGTGCGATTGTTGCACGGATGGGGGGACGAGCGTGCTTCTCGAGAGAAGCGGCTCGTTGGAAAGATTGCGGAACTGTATGATCGTGCAGCGGTTTGCGTTCCTGCGTGTGCGCCAGAGCGCCAGAAGGAAGCGAGGCAGTTCTTTGTCAAGACAGAGCCCTCACCAAGATGGCAGGTCCACATGTGTTGGTCTTTCCGAAGTTCTTCCTGCAGTCATCAGGAGGGGAAAAAACACACAGACACAATTAATCGTCGCCTCCCCAGAAAATATGGGAAAATATGGGAAGTGGTGGGGAAGACAAAAACCCAGAACATATGTGAAAATATAGGGAATCTGTTTATTTGTGTGTATTTATTTGTGTGTCCCAGGGCCCCTTCAAGTCATGCGGAAGGCGTGCAGGGGCGTCTGAGAGGGGATTTGGGACGGGAGGGTGTGTTGCAGCATCGTTGATGCATGTTGGGTTTACTCTGGTCCTCCTCCTCCTCCCCTCCTCCTCTTCCTCCTCCTCCTCCTCCTCGTCCTCCCCCTCCTTCTCCCCCTACCCTCCTCCTCCCCCTCCCCCTCCTCCTGCTACCCTCCTCCTCCTCCTCCTCCTCCTCCTCCTCCTCCTCCGCCTCCGCCTCCTCCTCCTCCTCCTCCCCCTACCCTCCTCCTCCCCCTCCTCCCTCTACCCTCCTCCTCCCCCTCCTCCTGCTACCCTCCTCCTCCGCGAGCTCACCAAGCACCCCGCCAGCTTGTCGGCCAGTGGCCCGCGCGCGCCTGACGACGCGTAGATTTTCGGCCGCGCTCGGGTGAAAAGGCATGCCTCGCCACGACGACGACGACGACGACGGCGACGGCGGCGGCGACGACGACGCGCAGCGACGCGCGACGACGACGACGACGACGAGGAGGACGACGACGAGGAGGACGACGACGACGACGACGACGGCGGCGACGACGACGACGAGGACGAGGACGACGACGACGACGACGACGACGACGACGACGACGGCGACGACGACGGCGACGGCAACGGCGACGGCGACGGCGACGACGACGTCGACGACCGACGTGTCTCCTCCTCTGGCCACTGTTACATGCCATCCGCAGCGGAGAATGCAGGACTGCCGTTTCCCGATCACTTGCGGGGGGGGGCCGGGAGCCGATCTGAGACGGCTATGTGACGAGGGCCTCTGAAGCCACCCGCGGGGGCGCGAAGAGGAACCGCGCCCTTCGTGTCGGGTGTTGCTAGAAGTGCCCCTGGCCCAAGGTGCCCCCAGGATTCCCAAGGAGGCCCCCGTGGCCTCCAGAGGAGGCCTCACGAGGCCCAGAGGGCCACAGGGGCTCCAGAACGGCACGAAATGCTCTGGGGGGCACCTTGGGGGTGCCTTGGGCCGGGGGCTCCTCTAGCAACCCCCGATCGTGCTCTGGCGGCCTGGGCGACGAAAGGGCGCACGGATGAGCGCGGCCTGGCGCAGAGCCGAGGAGCGCGAAGCTACGCGGGTCGAGGATCGAGGGTCCAGGTGCTGAGGATCGAGGGCGGGCCTCGGGGGCGTCCAAGAGGGGGGGCGCCCAAGAGGGGAGCTCCTCCCCCTCCTCCTCCTCCTCCCTCCTCCTGCTCATCCTCCTCCTCCCCCTCCTCCTCCTCTTCCTCCTCCTCCTCGTCCTCCTCCTCCTCCTCCTCCTCCCTCCTCCTCTCCTCCTCCTCCTCCTCCTCCTCCTCCTCCTCCTCTTCATCATCATCATCATCATCATCATCATCATCATCATCATCATCATCATCATCATCATCATCATCATCATCATCATCATCATCATCATCATCATCATCATCCTCTCTCCGCGTGCGTTCCCGCGCGCGCCCTCCTCGCCGTGTAACTGCCGCCTCCTGACAAAGATCCGTTGACGACGCCGCCGTCGGTCGCCACCGCCGACAGCCACGACCACCGCCGTCGCCGCCGTCTAAACTCTGGCCAGAACGGGCCCCTGGGCCTGTCCGGGGGCGACGCCGATGGCACGCACGGGCGCCAAGGGCATGGGCGCAGAAAGGTTTGGAACCAGAGTGGCGATCCTGATGTTCTCCGCTGTCCTCCTATGAGTGAATTGAGCACGTCAAGTGGCTGAAGGACACGGCGAAAAGTTCCCCGCCCGACTTTGACGCGCAGGCCCTTCGCGCATGTCCTAGAACGGTGGGAGTGGTCAGCGACCACCTCTCAGCTTTGCGATCCTGGAGCTGGTCCGACGAGATGGCTATAGGAGCTGCTAGGGACGCGCGCATCGGGCAGGAGGTTCTCACAACGCACCCTGCGCGCACGCCAAAGGCTGAGAGACCTGCCGCAAGATGGGCCCCTGCGCGCGCAGACGTCGACCCTATCATGGCCGGGGGTGTTTGCTCGAGATAGGATCGGTCCGATCCGAGTCGCGCGTTTGATTGCCCCAGCAACGTTTGTGTGGACTGTTCTGTTAAGCTCAGAGCGTTGCAGCACTCAGTTGCGGAGGCTGCAGTGGCTACGCTCCGATGACAATTCGGAGAAGGACATGCTATATACATATATATAGAGAGATTGCTCAGTTCGTTGCCAGCCAGGCCGAGCTACCGCCCATACCTGCAGGTGGCCGTCGCAATCCCTTGACGGCGCCTGCACTGCCTCTGCTCGCTCACGATCTGGAGGTGGGGGTGAGTGGGGGCGGGGTCGGTCTACGCGGTGTCATTTGTCGGCTCAAACTCAGCTCGCAAGGGCCAACTTCGAGAAACTTGGCACGAGGTGCGAGCCAACGCCTTTGCATTTGTACCTCACAACTGCGAGGGCAGAGCGGCGCAATGGTCTCCTTCCGAGGGCACGGAGCGCCGCCTTGCCCCTTACGATTCAGGAGCTGGGCTTCTCTTACAAAGGCCTGCAGGTGTAGACGTTGGAGGCCTTCCTTTTCCGTGACCACTTGGCCCAGGCCATTGCGAAGGTGTTTGCTGTGCCGGCACCGCGGCGCGCGCGCCTCGATCGAGGCACTTGTCTGGCGAGGCTTGCTCGCAGACTGTCGGGGCCAAGCGGATGTCGCCTCGGTGCAAGCTCGGCGCATCGGGGCTGCCGTGTCTGGTCGCGAGGTCCGCTAAGGGGGTAGATCCATCGGGCTGCGGCGTGGCCGCAGCCCGGGCAGCCCGGGGGGAGACAACCCGACCGCGGTCCTCAGCCTGTGCGAAGGGGTGCGGTGCTGCTGCGTCGAGAATCCCGCCCTCTCCGGCTTCCCTTGCCTGCCAGCCCTCATTCGAAGCAGGTGTTGCGCCTCGGCTTGATCCCTGCCCCCAGCACCCCATCGCTCGCACCACTATGTGATTTCCCAGGCTGGAGACAAGGCCCCTGAAGCCCTGGGTTCCTGTCGGGGGGCGGGCTTGCATCGAAGGCTCGGGTTGCCAGGGCCGGCCCTGCTGCACCCACTAGACAGCAAACTGAGACGCGCGCCACAGGGTCCGTTCGTTCGTTCTTCCTCCCCCCCTTCCCTCCCCCCCCCTTCCTCCCCGCCAAAAGCGGTCGGTGGGTGATTTCCCGACTCGCGGGGCCAATCCTTGCCGCACTGGGTCTCGGGAGACCTCGGGCCCCCCCCGTGTGGCTTCGTCCACTGCTCCCCCTGGGGTCTCCGACCCCGCCGTGGCCGACAGCCCCCGAAGTTCCCGCCCACCCCCCCTCCTCCCCTCCTCCTCCTCCCCCTCCTCCTCCTCCTCCTCCTCCTCCTCCTCCTCCTCCTCCTCCTCCTCCTCCTCCTCCTCCTCCTCCCCACCTCTTCCTCTGCCTCCTCTCAGGTGATCGCAGGCATGGATCGAAGGGGCGTGGATCGGCGTCGGGTCCCGCTTCCACGAGAAATCGCGGATCTCCGCCGCCGGACGAGGCGGCATTGGCCGCGTCTTGGGGATGACACCTCCCCCGATCCATGCCGGAAACTGGAACGTATACATTACAAGTGGCGGGCTGTTGTTCAATCCCAGGACTTGTTTGAGGGTCGGAGGCGACGTCGGGGTGGTGTGGTGTATACTTGTTTCCCCGTTCTCCCGTGGAAACAACCATATATATATATATATATATATATACATATACGCACCAGGATGCCGTATACACCAGAATCCGTTTTCTTGTGCGAATCTCAGTGCGGGACTGGAAGAAGGCATCGGTGTATGGAGCTCGGTTCCCTGCCATGGACTGGGCGACCGCGCGCCAAGTCCCTGGATCACTACTCCGTGCCTGCTCGCCCCCGATCCTCGGCGCCTCCCGGGGAGCGCGTGGGCCGGGCCTCCCGCCGCCCCTCCGGGGGCAGGGGCGCTCGGCGATGGCCTCCGGGGGGGCGGCGTCTGCACATCGGGCGGCACGGCTGCACCTCCAGCGTGGCACGGGAGCAGCTCCTCCTCCTCCGAGCTGGCGCTGCCGATGGGCGAGACTCGACATCGTCGTCGCCGGAGCTCCACCGAAGCTCCTCCTCCTCCTCCTCCTCCTCCTCCTCCTCCTCCTCTCCTCCTCCTCCTCCTCCTCCTCCTCCCCCTCCTCCCCCTCCTCCCCCTCCTCCTCCTCCTCCTCCTCCTCCTCCTCCTCCTCCTCCTCCTCCTCCTCCTCCTCCTCCTCCCCCTCCTCCTCCTCCTCCTCCTCCTCCTCCTCCTCCTCCTCCTCCTCCTACTCCTGTGACCTGTAACCTGCTACCTGCTACCTGTTAGTTGAAGAGTCGTACCGACGCCGCCCTCCCCCCCCAGGGCGGGTCGGCCCTGGGGGGTGATCAAACCAGGTAGCCAACGTGGCATTATGCCAGTGGCTGAGCAGAAGAGTTAGTACAAGAGGACAGAGAAGGAGCGAGGAGGAGGAAGAAGAGAGACATACAAGCATCCATCAATACACCCCCAGGGGGGGAGAAGAGACCGAGGTTGTAGGCAGCGGCGTGATGCTGCGGGCAGCGGCTGTAGGCAGCGGTGCAGGGCAGAAGTGAGGCTGCGGGAGGCCAGGTTAAGAGGTGTGCTGACAGGCTGCCTGGCAAGGTCAAAGTGCGGGCTGGTGGGCGGTGGCCGCCCTGCCCACCCTCGGCCAGGGGAAAGGTGCAAGGGCCCCTCCGTCTGCTCGCAGGAATCCCCCACAGGCGCCCCCCAAAGGCAAGGCAGCGGGGCCCCTCGCTTGCAAGCGAGCGCAGGGCTCCCAGCACGTACGCCTCGGGGCCGCCTGGGGGGGGGGGGGTCCACCGAGCGTGATGGAGGTTTGCGCCTTCCTACCCGTGGCAGGTGGCCGATCTCACCCTAGTGGCCGGCCACTCTCGCCGAGTGGAAGGGCACAACGGCCTCTCCCCACCCTGCACATGGGAAATCCCCCGAAGCGCCCCCAGCCGCGCGACTGGTAGTTGCCCTCCCCTGCCAGGCAGGAGTAGGGTAGCCGGATCGTGGAGGTGGGGGCCGCTGGGGGGATTTCCGCCGTGCGTGGGGGAGGTGTCTGCCCTCCGTGGCGGAGGCACGGAGTAGGTTGTGTGTTCCCCTCCCCATGTCGTAAAATCCCCCTTTCTCAGTGCACGCAGGCGACCGGTGGTCGCGACTGCTGCTGTGGCTGTTGCTAGGGTGCGAAGCTGTCGCCGCTTCGGCTGAGTGAAGCTCACGAGAAGGTGGGGAGGTGACAGGCAAAAAGATGATGGTGGCTGTTGGCTGTTGGCAGTGGCTGGCTGTTGCCTTCGGCCACGGCCGCACAGGCCTTCGCCATGTCGGCCTGTGGCGAGTCCAATCTTTCGTCGCTTCCCAAGATCTCGCCACCCCGTCCCTCCGCCACAAGAGGTGGGGCGTAGTGAGGTTAGCGAGGTGAAGTG